TTTACTCTCCTGTTACTTTCAAATTTCTCCTGCTACTCAAATTCATAAATAAACCCCTGTAACAGTTTTTCAGAATCAATTACTGAGCTCTAAAAAAGTTGATATTTTTACATATTCTTCATACATAGGCCTACCTAGCCTAATACTGTAAACCAGAAACTTTCGCGAATTGATAATTTCGGCCTTTTTCGTGACATTAAACTTTCGCGAATCTCAAAAAGCCTAAATTTAATTCATGAGAGGAATATCATACAATAGCTGAAAATATCGTATCGTGAGTTTAGGCCAAGGTTAAATAGGCCTACAGCCACTGTGTAGGCTACAGTATCTAGGCCTAGGCAGGCTAAGGCGCCATAAGCCTGGCAGGACTTAGCTGGCTATCCCAGGCACAGATAAGAAAGAGATAAGTTTACACACATACAGTACTCACTCATATGATATTCCTTAATTTTGTATGGTATTCAAGCATCCTACAAAATGAACAATGTTTATCAATGTTTTATTAACAAACTATTTTCCTGTAGGCTTAATATCGATTCAAATACATTGATTGATGATAATTGAACATCGTGGTATGTCATATGGTACGGAAAATTAGTTTCCCATTTGAACTTCTTAGTATACACTGCACAGTGGTTGCACATGTGCAATCACATGCAGTGATGATCAGAAACTCCTTGATTAGTATACTTACTGAGTAGGTTAGAATAGACCAAGAATTTACGAATTTTTCGAGCTCAACATCGGAATTTAAGGTCAGAATATTGATTCAATTATTGAAATACATTCTTTTTTAAGGTTATACACATTTAATAAAATCCACCAAAAAAAATTGAAAATACAATTTTTATAATGATGAAGTTGTTTACTTTTCACAACCATTTAGGCCTATGCCCTAGATCTGTGTTGAAGAAAACATCTAAAGGAGAGCAAAAAATAGTTCTAAAATTTACGCAGATATCGAAAAGGAATGGATACCACATTGGAAAAAAAATGTCTCATGTGATGTGAATTGAGACGATTTTGGCTTGCTCTGCCGTTTTCATCATTGTACTATCTATGACTATGAAATTGTGAGTGTAAACAGTATTCAATATAGTTTGGTTCGGGTTGCTACCTCCGCCACCGAATGTAAACGAATTTGAGCCAGTGTTGGTTTGTTTTAAATTATTATTTATCATTTCCGAAATATCTATGTCATCACAAAGAGGGCTAGTAAAATAAAAATGAAATGAAAATAAAAGGTTCATAGTCATACACAAATTAATTTTAAAACGACGATCTATTTTTTTCTTCTCCGCGGTAAGAAAACCCGGAAGCCCAATGTACAGTAAAAGAGTTTGGGCGATGTATATCGTCATCACCTGAGCATGTGGTTATGTGTGTATTATCTTATTGGCTAACATGTGAATTGGAGGCGTGGCTTCTTTGATGGACTCACCCAGACGCGACTGCCGAACTTTGAACTTTAACTTTGTTTACGACGCGAGTTCATGAAATGGAGTCTGAAAATTGGTAGACATTTTAACGAACTTTCAACAGAAAGGAACATCGAAATGAGTGCATACTATTGCAAATTAACTTCGTGTAGGTAAATAAGGTTCTTTACAGGCCTGTTGCGCTATTTATATTGGTGGTTTTGTATTAATTTTTGTACAGCATTGATTGAAGTAGCCGGCGAAAACATCGTAGTAGCCGATCGAATGCGCCGGCCACCGGCTCTTAAATAAACCCCTGGCTTGCTAACCGATAGCGCTTGCTAACTGTTAGCGGTATCGGATACCGCTAATGGTTAGCGCTAACCGATCAGGCATTCTCACACATGTGCTAACGATTAGCGCTAACGGTTTGCTCCCGATCCGGATAATAGGGATCTCGTGAGAACCAGGCTTTAGTAAATTTAATAAGAAAGCAGCTTAGCTCAGTAGGCTAAACTGGTGGTAGCCACTGTGTGTGCTTTGAACCGTGAAGTTCTCTAGGTTCAATGGCCATCGCTGGTCTCCTTGTGTTTCAGCTGAAGGTCATTATGGCCCATGTACACGACAAAGAACGAGTACACCCTACGGAAAAAAGGATAGGATCGTCTCCTGGTGTACTGCCAAATCAGCTGGAAATAAGTCTTCTTCAGACTTTGGTGGGTTATCCTTGGTGTTTACACCGAATAAATCCATCTGTCCTAAAAATGCTGCCAAAATATTTTATCAAATAACAAATCAGTCCGTATTCTTAACGCTTGCATTAAATATTCATTTATTTTTCTGTTCCGATACCCATTACTCAATTTAATTCTATTGCATTTCTGAAAGGTTTTATTCCTTTAATTATTATATAATAATAATAATGATAATAATAATAATAATAATAGTAATAATAATAATAACAATAATAATAATGTAGTTTTTATATAAATATGTTGTGGATGCATTCAAGATTCTCAAAAGCAGGGTGAAGGACTGAATTAAGCAATTTTGGTTGGCAAATCTGGGATGGGGAAAGTTGGGGAATGCCTAGTTAACACCGCCGACAGCTTTCGGTGATTCTGATTGGTCGGTCGAATTGGGGAGCCTTTCCAATTGCGTCAGAGACTGCTACGCAGTGCAGTGATAGCACTGAAAATGCTGTGATTTTATGAAAACCAGGCTTGTAGTGAAGGACTGCCAAGGTTCTTGATTTCAAAGCTTATAATTTTTTGCACTTTGTAGTTAGTGGCAGTAGAATTCTGTTATTTGTAGCCTGTGGTAGATATGTCAATTATACAGTTTATAATGTAGCATATGGGGCTTGCCATATCAAAACCGGTATCAGTGGCCAAAACAAGGATATTGACTGTTCAATAGTAGTCATATTCTTTTTTTTTGTCTTTCGTGGTAGTCACACACCTTTATTGTCACTCTTTTTTTATTGTTTTCATTCATTTTTCCATCTTTCATTCTCCAAGTTGAAAGCTTTAAAAATGATTTAATGGAATCAACTTTACTATTGCCAAAGTTATGAGTAAATTTATTAGCACACAATGGAATCTAGGCCCTTTACACTAAGTTTGAAAAAAAAAAATTAGGAATGGTGTCAGCTGTGTTTGTTCATAAAAGTGTTTTTGTAATTTCTTACTGAAATTATTACTGTTTCTATGTCACTGATCTAAATTTTTATTTCTTTGATAGATATTTTTTCCATTTTGGTGCCCAACTCATCTCCAGATTTTAGATGAGAAAGGAACAGAGAATAAAAGCTTTATTCTTCCGAAACCGAGTCAACAATTGAATTTTGATAACGGTACAGGAATGCGCTTTGAAGCACAGGCAGTGAGGGACTGTCTGCAGCAAGGTAAGTAACCCCTCCCACCACACCACCTCAGGTTTAATTTATCCAAGGTCAAAGTTTAGGTGTCTGAACAAATATAATCAATGAATTATTTTGTCTTCATCTGATGTTATCTGCAATTCTGCAGATTACCAAATCTGTGTATATGGTGGAAATTACTTTGTTGCAGGTAATGAACATTACGAGTTCTTATTTAAAAAAACTAGATAGTTAAAATAAGTAAATTAAGCAAATATGCTCATTCCTTCATGGTGTTCATTTAGTAAACACAAAAAAACGACTGTAGCTTGTACACTAAAAAAAAAGAAATTATTAAATTAACCAAATTATTCTGTTGGTGATTAGGTGGGGTGTCAATTTTTAGGTGTCTGAACCCTACAATTATAATTATTGAATTACTCTGTCTTCCTCTAAAGTTATCTGCAATTGTAATAAATAAATCATTTTCTCTTTCCCTTGGGTCTCATAGTTTGGCAGCCCTGCAAATAGGCACACACTATCACTTGCATTTCACCTGAAACACAGTTAGAATGAGAGCAGATAGAACTGAATCATGGACTGGTTTAAGACGTCTAACTTGCATTAGCCTTATGTGTGGGTAATGTTATGCTAATGAGGCAGATAAACGCAATCTGCACATGCTCAGAAAACCAAAACTTTCCTTAGCCACACCATGGCCACACCAAGTAGCCAAGAATTACGGTACGGTAAAACAGAGCAAAATAAGGGTACTAATTTCACTTGGCATGCAAATCAATCATACTTATACACTTAAAAACAAACTAATCTACCAATAAAATCACCTGCAAGTTAAAATATAAGGCAAGTATGTCTACAAATTTGATTTTAAATTTATGTGATTTTGTTTTGTAGTATTACAATGAACATCACATAGGCTAGCCTAAGCCCGGCCTAGGCCATGTCTAACCGCTTATAAAAATGCAAAAAAAAGACCCAAAACAAATTAGAATGAAGTTGTCAACTAACTAGTACATTAAAATTGTTCATATACTTACTACTTACCTATATAAAATTTAAATGTATTGCTCACAAATGCCAATATTTTGATTTTAATATGCCTTTTCCACGAATCGGTAGACATCTTGAAGTGATAACAAACAGCCTAAGTCAGTAGTGCGTAACAAACAAAAATAAGATAAGCTAGACCTAGCTGCTGTACGCCCAGCCGATACGCAGTGTGGCTAAGGAAAGTTTTTGGTTTTCTGAGCATGTGCAGATTGTGCTTATCTGGCTCATTAGCATAACAATACCACACATAAGTCTAATGCAAGTTAGACGGCTTAAACCAGCCAGCTTCCTATCCTGGTAACAGTTAAAAGTCCTTGGTTTAACCCACACACAGTGGCTAGAAGTTTTGAAGAATGATTCAAATAAAAAATCAGAAGATTATTGGAAAAAAATTCAGAAAAAATAGAAGGTCAGCTGATATTCAGGGCACTCTTAAATAATTGAACTAATGTGATGCTTTTGTCAGAGAAGTCTCTTTATGAGGCTTAGGGAGTGGAGGTGTTTTAGTCAAGAGAAAATGTCTCGCTGTTACAGAAATTGAACACAGGACCCTGGGAATAGAAGTTGCAAGCATCTTAACCACTAAGCTATTCAACTCCACTTTTTTCTTTGTCCAGGTTTGAAGGAGCACTCTTTGGTGACACATGAAGACTCATTCAAGTTTGCCACCATCTTGGATCAGGCTAGGCACAGCTTAGGCTACTTTCACGACAAAGAACTTGCGAAGTGATCAGCTCGCTTAGTAACTCTCTACTTAATCTCATGATAATGTTAATTTACATCTCTCAAGTTGTGTGCTTTCATATGCTTTGTCCACTTGGCCTTGTCACTGATAAAAAATTGTTATAGAAACAGAGAAATTAATGGTTAATTATCAAGGTTTATTATGGTGCCAGTGAATTATTCCATGGAAAAGTTTGGAAAATATTTGATTATATAATATTGTAATGAGTTATTTGTAGTGCTTTCAATGATTCTACCCTTGGTCATTCGATCTATTCTCAATGTGCAACCACTTTTCCTTTCTCTGACATATATAAAGTCATGCCTCAGTGCAGTGTGATACAATACCTTTGAGATCTGATACCCATTGAAACTCTTGGAAGGTGAGCATCTGTCTTATATTGCTTTGATGTCCTTGCATTTGAAAGTCATTTTTTATGAAACACGCATTTTGCAAAATCTATGCGTGATCATCAATTTATTAAACATTCATTATAAAACCATTTACATTTCAATTACCAAAAAAAAATACCATGGACAATACATGAAATTGTCCTGTTTCAAACACCACAATTGTATTTGCTCAAGATGCCCAGTATCAGCATCTACCATGTTTTTTTTTCAATTCCTACACTTTGACCCAGCTCGGACATTTTCCTTGTGATTGGTGCTGCCCACCAAAGTCCACCCATAAATATTTTCATGTCACACATTCATATTTACTGAGGTTGGTAACTATGGGAGAGAGACAGACAGACAAACAAACACATAGATGAAGAGACAAGCGAAACAGACATCATAAGACCTCAAGGTCAAGGGGCACAAACACACCTGTTGCACCAGTTGCGTTGTGTAATTCAGGTTGTATTATTATCTCCATTAAAAATATATATGTAATTGTGTTGTATGTTTGTGGATTTATTTTGGCTAAATGAAAAATTAAATGAATGAATAACAACACCAGTGAAATTTATATTCATAAAATTACTAAATTCATCAATATATCTGTGTATTTTACTAATAGAGTGCAATCACATTATAGCAGCTGTATCATAACTCTTAAATATATCTTTTTTGGGGGTAAAATTAAGCACTCCCAGACACATATCCAGGTGTGGCAGGTGCAATGGGTGTGTACATACTCCCCAAATCGAATAAGGTCAACATTCTTAATACAGTCAAAAATTTACGGAATATAAAATTTGTTAATATTTGTAATAGAAAAGGAAATCTTCACAGTTTATCTAGTAATCTATGAGAACCCCTATAACGGCCT